AGTGACTAGAATGTTTTCAGCTTTGTACCGAATAGTCGACCGCTGAAGCCAAACAAAACGATTTACTTAGGTATTAGAGACTTTTGGCAAGCGTAAATTTCTGGCCCGTATCGCGTATCCGTATGGATTTTGCGTGTGACGTCATCAATGTGTGTGCATTTCTCACACGAGATACGTCACACGGATACGGCAGCACGTATCGAACAGCTTTCAAACGGAAAAGGTCCGTATTACATTGTCTTGTCCTTTTACCGTCTTTTTTACTACTTTTAGACGCGGAATTGTTGTATCGTAGCGTTTTTATGAATCTTTGTGTATTCTAGAACACGAAGGTGTATATTTGACGCGATGTTAACCATGATGGTTGATCTACGTGCTAAATTTAGGGAACGGAACATTGCAATTCTGTAAATGATTTTATTCTGTGGTAAAGGGGTATAAACTTTCTGAAATGATACATTAGTGAACCAAAAATTGCAGTTGAGTCTAAGTCGAAGATTTTTAATAAGATTCGACATTATTTTTTTTTAATAGCTCAGCGACTGTCGGGCGACTTTATTTCTTCCGGGAAATTGTCGGCTCTAATAGGCACTTGACTAGTACTGATGGTGATCTTGGTAGATATCTGCCATCATGCTGTAATAGAACTAAGTTCAGCTGATCGACGCACACGTACGCGACGCGAAAATTTGCCAAAACTCTAAAACTACATTGACGCAACGTGTATCACGTATACGATACGGATACGTGACACGGATGGGAAAATTCCGCTTGCCAAAAGTCTCTATTGTCTATTGCCCAATAACTTATTAAAAATCACATCAAATGAACCCAATGTATTACTTCATTTTGAACTATGGATATCATCAAGTCTGTTAAGTTCTTTTTATATTTTAGTCAAACTAATGACAATTCATTAAGCTCAAGTATGTTTAGACAGCATGATTTGTCTCAGATCAAACTAATGACACTTCATTAAGCTTAAGCGTGTTTAGAAAGCATGATTTGTCCCAGATATTCACTATGTTGTTGCTGATGGCAATGTGTCATTTTAATATGGATGTAAGGTCAAATCCAAGGAAACCTAGTGCAGAAAAGTAGGGTGTTAAATCACATTCATTTAATTTCCCAAGAGACCCATGTATTTTGAGTACTGGGCATCCAAGCTGAAAATGTCACGTAGCCCGTCACATAAAGCAAATATTTTAAAAAAGAACTTGCACTTAAATTTATATAGGTATGTGGCACCCACAGATTAAAAAATATGTAGGGCTCCGATCTAAGAATTTAAAATGGCCGTCAAAAGATGTGGAGGTATTAGAGTTCAGGTGCCCATTTTGATACCGCGGTAAATACATGTATTAGCTCCAAACGTGTTTGAAGACTGTACAAATGGATAGAGCATAACTACATTGATTGAGTTTTGATTGTTTTAACAGTTTTAATCTTGTAAGTGATTTGACGGATAACGTTTATTATTGTTTACAGTATATAAGTGATTTAATTGGTTTCTGTTGGTTTATTTTGTGTTTCTTATACTGTTTTTGTTTCAGTATAAGTTTCTACCCAAGCCTTACAGATCATATGGTGATGCATTTTGTGAAGAGACTAGTCCAGACTACAGTCACTCTGCATGTGTGTTTGACTGTGTTGGAAATATTACTGTCAATGAATGTGGCTGCAAGACCCTAAAAGAAGCAGGTAGATTATAAATATTATGTTTGCTCCCCTATATCGCTGATTCGTTGATAGTGCATCACGTTACAATGGATTTTGTTGTCAAGGTTTTGTCTAATGGAGTAATAGTAACAGAGCGAGAGAGAGAGTAATGTCAAATCGACACTAGTCAGTTTTTTACTGGATTAACATAGCCTGTGCATGGCGATATATGATTGCAATAATTAGCTCAGGTACAGGCATCTTCCATAGATGTTGGGCGAAAAACAGCGAGGTTATAATTCTTATTTATGATCAGCGGGGATGACATCGGGGCTCGTCTGTTTATGTGTTGGTCGGTAATCCAGCTTTGAGACAAAACTGTGATGATTTATATTTCGTTAAAAGTGAAATGAATTGTTGCTTGTTTTTATTCTTAAAGGAACACATCCGTCATTGAAAGATTGTACATTTCAAGAGACGTATGGTTGTTACCAAATGCAAACAAGTAAGATGCTTTCGTTTTGTATTTACTTTACTATAAGTAATCAATAAGTCATATATTGGTGTCTTAAAAATTTACTGCAAATATCGATGTTCGATAATTGACTGACTTGACTTCTATTTACATTTATTAGATCTATGTTCTTGTAGATCCAACCAGTGCAGATATTTACACATGAACTTCGATGGTCCTGTGCACCACAACAGTCCCCAACCATGCTGCATTATAGAGGAATAATTCGTAAATTTTTATACGCCCACATTTTCATGTGGACGTATTATGCCGTCGCCCCTGTCCGTCCGTCTCTGTCTGTCTGTCTGTCCGTCCGTCCAGAATTTGTTTGTGGACACTCTACAGGTCACAACTCTTATTCGATTTTAACGAAACTTGAAATATAGGTGTATCTCCAAAAGATCTCGGCTGCTTTCGATATTGGCATGTATCGGATCGAAACTTCATGGATAATGGCCCCTGTTTGTACGAAAAATCACGTTTTTGGCTTGTGGACCCTATAGAGGTCACAATTTTTATCCGATTTTGTTGAATCTTGAAATGTAAGTTTATAACCCAAAGATCTCGGTTCCTTTCGATATTCGCGCATATCAGACCGTAACTTCCTGAATTATGGCCCCTGATTGTACGAAAAATCGCGTTTTTAGCTTGTGGACCCTATAGAGGTCATAATTTTTATCCGATTTAAAAAAACGTATTATTATATCACCGTTACACCATAAGGACGACTGAGGTCGAATTTCGTGAAAATCGGCCTAAAATTGACAGACAAAATGGCCGCCCTTCGTTCTCAAATTGCGTAAAAGCATGGTATATCAAGTTTGTAGACCCTATAGAGGTCACAATTTTTATCTGATTTTGTTGAAACTTGAAATATAAGTTTATAACCCAAAGATCTTGGTTCCTTTCGATATTCGCGCATATTGGACCGTAACTTCCTGAATTATGGCCCCTGATTGTACGAAAAATCGCGTTTTTAGCTTGTGGACCCTATAGAGGTCATAATTTTTATCCCATTTAAAAAACGTATTATTATATCACCGTTACGCCCCAAGGACGACTGAGTTCGAATTTCGTGAAAATCGGACAAAAAATGACAGACAAAATGGCCGCCCTTCGTTCTCAAATAGCGTAAAAATATGGTTTATCAAGGTTGTAGACCCTATAGAGGTCACAATTTTTATCCGATTTTGTTGAAACTTGACATGTATGTTTATAACCCAAAGATCTCGGATCCTTTTGATATTCGCGCATATCGGACTGTAACTTCCTGAATTATGGCCCCTGATTGTACGAAAAATCGCGTTTTTAGCTTGTGGACCCTATAGAAGTCATAATTTTTATCTGATTTAAAAAACCGTAGTATTATATCACCGTTAAAACCTAAGAACGGCTGAGTTCGAATTTCGTGAAAATCGGCCTAAAACTGACAGACAAAATGGCCGCCGTTCGTTCTCAAATAGCGTAAAAATATGGTATTTCAAGGTTGTGGACCCTATAGAGGTCACAATTTTTATCCGATTTTGTTGAAACTTGAAATGTAAGTTTATAACCCAAAGATCTCAGTTCCTTTCGACATTCGCGCATATCGGACAATAACTTCCTGAATTATGCCCCCTGATTGTACGAAAAATCTCGTTTTTAGCTTGTGGACCCTATAGAGGTCATAATTTTTATCTGATTTAAAAAAGCGTATTATTATATCACCGTTACACCCTAAGGCCGGCTAAGTTCGAATAGCTTTTAAAAAAATGGTATATCAAGGTTGTGGACCCTATAGAGGTCACAATTTTTATCCGATTTTGTTGAAACTTGAAATGTAAGTTTATAACCCAAAGATTTCGGTTCCTTTCGATATTTGCGCATATCGAATTGTAATTTTCTTAATTATGGCCCTTGATTGTAGGAAAAATCACTTTCTTTTTAGCTTGTTCTCTATCCATCTCTCGAAAATGTGGGCGTATTCTGCCTGGCAGCCGCTGGTTCATTGATTGTCATGCGTTTTATGGAATTAATCACAATATTTTGTACTTTTAAGTATTGACTAATGTATAAAAAGCCATAAAGTGAAGAATCCAGTACAGTGTCACAAAATCAGTTGATATTCAGTGTTCCGTTCTATTATAGTTTACAACTACGTCAAAGCAGAAGCTGGAAAGATATGCAACTGTCCTAGACCGTGTAGAATTATAAAATATGATGCTGTGATTTCACAAGCATTATACCCCTCGAAAGCAACCCATCGATACACAAGAGATGTGCTACATATGAACGCTACTTTAGAGGATTTAAGGTAAAACTAGTAATACCTACTACACAAAATAATTAAGAGAAAAAGACCCCCTCCCCCCGATGCTGTTTTATCGGCAAAATTTGTCGTAAAAATCCATGCATGCATATTTAATGATCGATTATTTGAGTAAGCACCTCAGCATGATTTTATGCTTGCTTTTTGAAACTTCGTTAATGTGGAATATATAGTTAAAATTCCAAATCGACTTGTTGATACAGATTCTTAATCCAATTACCTCTGCCCTTTTTTTAATCTGCTGTGAGTAAACTGCCATTGTCATGAGCATAAAACACATGTCAGAGGTCAACGACAAGATCTGCAAAGATCAAAATCCGGAAGTTATCACGATAACAAGCAGCTAAAGTCCGACGCTGGTTTCCGAAAATTAGAAAGCAATACTATGTGAACATGATTATTTTTCTTATTCTAGACATTACTATAGGCTTTTAAAGTACAAAAAATTTGTTACTTTTACTTGGCTTGTGATCAATAGGTAGCTACATCACTATGCATGTATTTATTTACTTGATTTTCTTTTAGAAATAATTTAGTGGGTTTGAGGATATTCTTCCAAGATCTGACATACAATGAGGTGGAGCACGTACCAGAATTCAACTTAAAAGGAATTTTCGGTAATTAATCTCCTATACTCCCTTTTCGATGACTTCTTTTTAGTGATGCCCTGACATGGTATTACTCTTCGTTAGTGGTGCAGAAGACACTATACTTGCGATAATGTTGATAACTTTTAACATTATTTTGCATAAACTGCCTGCTGTTTATTTTTGTAGGATTGCATTTATCATCAGTCCTCTGGGCCTTTAGAAATTGCAATAAAAATAGAAATGATTGAATGTAAATCAGTTTATATACATTCATATATTGCATTATATGGGTTGCGACTCATTTGTATTCATTTCTAGTTGCCAAAGAATAGCGATTTAGCTCCTTTAATACATTCATTGAAATGCACTGTTTATTGATTGGGTTTGTATTTTTACTTGTGATTAATACCTCTTCCTTCGTTTATCAACAGGATCAGTTGGTGGTCAAATGGGATTTTTTCTTGGTGCCAGTATGATATCTGTCACTGAGTTCCTGCTAGCTATTATAAAGTTAATGACCAATGGTCTACAGTGGGTGACAAACCAACAACCCAATAAGAAAGTTAAACCTTTCATCGACAAATAACTGACTTCTGTATTCTATCAATAGGGATGTGATGATACACCGGTACAGTCGGTATACAGTGGTACAAATATGTCACGTTGTATTGTATCACATGAAAATAATACCGGTGTATATTACTTCAGCAAATGTAAACAACAGTAAATAAAGTAATTAACAATCAATTTTGTTATTATTGTTCAACGACCCCAGTGCCCGACCCCTGTGCCGAAAAGCCTGTCCTGTTCTTATAGCTAGGTTACTTAGACGACTCCATTAAAACCAGTGACATACTTTCAAACATGGGATTTGACATCAAGCGTACAGATAGTCCTTACCGCTGCCCAAAGAAACCTATTCTTGGAACAGTGTACCATCAAACTCCAAATAGCACTGATGACCAGTACCTTTTCCACTCGGCACTCACTTCAGTCTTCCAGGTATTGACTTGAACATTAAATCCATCAATAGAAACAAATATCGTACTAAACCCAACCAGACACACCTTGACAGACAACAGACAGACAATATCCCACAATTTCAAGGAACGATGCAAACCTGTTTCATCATTAGACGAAAGCGACCATGACATTATTCTCTGTGATACAACAATCGCCCCGTTTAGGTCAAAACCAGAAAGAAGAAAGATCCAACTGTGAAAGGGAGTATCTGCAGTGACCTAAGCCAGTTTAGAAATTACTTTATTATTCCATCCTTCACAGACAGTGAACCCTTCAAAACTGATGTTCACCAGACGACTGAGAAGGAAGGTCCTTCTAAACTGACATTGGCTCGACACACCTATATCAATAGATCAATCAAGAGGAAACGGAGCATATCGGGAATCCAGGTAGATCGACATGAGGGATACCTTAATAGATTCAAAAGAATCCAACATGAAGTTCAATGGGAGACAATAAGTCAGACAAGACTGCTAGGAAACCATAAATGCCTTTCGAGTTTTTTTCAAACGTTTAGGACAGGAGAGGACTGGTGTACCCCCACCGATTTACAAGGAGGAATTCTTGAAAAGTGACAGCCAAAACAAGGCCAACTATCTTAATGAAGAGTTCCAGTATGTCTATGCCCAGGAGGACACAAGTACTGTGGTTAATAATTATCTCTTGCCTTTTTTTCTTATCCCTAACAAAAACATTAATTATCACTTCTAAATGCGCTTCACTTTTATTATCAAACAATGAAATAGCTTGTTAAATAGACCAGATACCCGTTTGTTTTGAAAGGCAAAAGTGTTTATTGGATTTTGTTGTTAAATTAGAAACTCAGTTTATCTAATGATTATTTTCAGGTACAAATCCTCCAGCTGTCATTAAAATGGAAAAAAAAAACGACTCCAAAATAAATAGATTGCCACCAAACAAAACAAATAAACAACCTATATATTTGAATATTATTGTCAAAAACCACTATCAAAGGGAGGGGAAATGTTGCCCTAGATTTAGAATCAGCGGTTGCCACGCAAAATAGGCCCACGTTTTGCAAGAGATGAGCAGAGAACAAGCTAAAGAAAATGTGATTTTTTGTACAATCAGAGGCCATAATACCTCCCAATATGCACGAATATCGAAAGGAACCGATATCTTTGGATTTTAAACATACATTTCAAGTTTCATCAAAATCGGATAAAATTGTGACAAGCCAAAAACGTGATTTTTTTTTACAGGCAGGGGCAATAATCCATGAAGTTAATATCCGATACTTGCCAACTTCTAAGTTTCGTCAAAATCGGATAAAAATTGTGAACGGAAATCCGGACGTTCAATAGAAAATGTGGGCGTATAAAAAGATACCAACCTACCTGAGCTATTAAACTAGACAAAGGAAAAGGTGCGGTTGATTGCACTTTCTTCTTGGCCAATTTCAATGGAAATCCTTTTAAGAACAAAAACTTAAAATTAGTGATGACTTTAATTTTGGTAAATATGCAGAAGAAATGATAACAAATCCTCACCCACCACATATATATATTCATAGTTGTCAAAAAGCATCAAACACCAGTTTGTCTCAACCATACAGCTCCTCCAATTTGCCTCAGACATTCATTCCTAACCACACTAACTAAACTGTTCTAATTCGTGTTCTTAGTGACATTCGATGGGCAGTTAATAACGGTGCGACAATTGGTCACAAATTGCTCTTAAATCTCATATTTAACAGACTGACACCAATCCGTTGTTATCCGAGCATCTCACACATCAGAAGCTGAATTAGCATGTGGTGTACCACAAGTTTTCGCCCTTGGCAAGGCTTGTAGGGTGACCCACGCACCTACAGAAATACAGTCAACCGCTGATAGTTCGAGACTACCACTGAAGCGTGCACATTCGCCGTGTCGAGGCCAACTTTCTGACAGTATGATACTATAAATAGCCATGGCACGTGCAATTCTCTACAAATCTATCAACTATTACAGCCGTAAAAAAATTATTGTTGACGATTTTGAATAGCAGTAAAATTAAGCTTCTTGGTTATTACAGCAGATTTAGAAATTACGTTCGTTTCATTTTTTAAATCGCTTTATCATTAACTGTACCGTTAAGAGCGGCATCTTTTGGTTTAGTACAAATAATATCTCAGAAACACTCGGGTTAGACAGGAACATGATACTAGCAGTAGTTTCATTTTACTTTTACAAGCTTCTTAAAACAATTGTTGAGCTAGCTAACGTGCTCATTTCTAAATTCAATTTCTTGTTCTAGCTTTCTGTTATGGTTCGTAAAAAAGTAGTCTTGATTATCCCGACCTGTCAATCAGCCCTAGAATGGTCGATAGACTGGTTAAGCGAGACTAATTTCAAAACAAGGGCACGTAACCTATCTTTTACTCAAAATTGTCTGGATGTTATGGACGACACATGGAACCAGTTTTCAGTCTATTATTTATAGATGATTAATGGTCATAGCTTATTAAGTACAACATGATCGTTTATTTAATGACTATAATTGTGTGAAACTGATTTGAGGCTTGGCATATATATAAATATTGTAGCGAAATTGTCGAGATATATGGAGATATTTATTTATGGTGGGTCACCCTACCAACTTGGTCCTATTTTTTTAACTCTATATACTACATAGTTACGCAAGTAATGAACAATCGAAACACCACCTGTACGCTGACGATACAATCAAACACTGTTTCAACTGGAAGAGTGTTACCCTACGGCAATACTATGTACCGGAAAACACCGGAAAACACCATTTTATACTGAATACTGGAAAACACCATTTTATACTGAATACCGGAAAACACCCTTAATACCGGAAAACACCCTAAATACCGGAAAACACCCTAAATAGGTAACCCGGATCCTGGTCCTCTGTGTGCGGTTTTGGACCAAGTGAGCGCCGATGAAGGAAGGTCAAGGTCATTACGATGTTCGTTTTACAAATAGACCCCCCCCCCAATAAAAATTCCGATTTTTTTTTCTCCCAAATTTTTTTGAACAAAAAAATTTTCTGTCACAAAAAAAATGGAATTTTTCCGAGAAATTGATTTTACAAAAAAACATTCCGTAGAAAATAATTTTATAGAGAAAAATACGGAAATTTGGGAGAAGAAATTGTTAAAAAAAATCTGAAAAGAAATTTTTCTTTGACCGTAGGCGATCGCTCGCTTGTATGTTAATGAACTTATTTCATCATCGCTCACCTGGTCCAAAACTACACACGAGGACCAAACCCCGGGTTACTAAATAGCTACCCGAAAACTTAGAAGAGTAAACTGTGCCCGAGATTTTTTTAGAGAGCGCGTCGCGCCGCTCCGGGAGGGATCATCGTCAGGTTGGGACGGGGGTGGAATTGTCCAGTCACGTGACGAACATAGATCTTCCGTTCCTCAACCCACAATATTTCCACAGTCATTGTCATTAATCACAAATTACGGGATGATATACGAAAATGCAGGTTTACTTTGAAATAGTGCAAATGATACTTTTCTATCTACAATCTTCAGATCAAAGGATGCAAGTTCTTATACGGTGCAGCATAATTTGTGCAACAGAAGACATCTCGAATATCTATTGTCGGAAAAAACATTTTCTCGGGGACATTTTTTTCCGAATACGCATTCGGTGTAAGTCTTCAGCCACCAGGATGTGGTTAACATAGTAATGTTTTATTCCGATAGTAGTACATAAAACATTTCACAAACAAAAACAACAGTTGCTTCCTTGAAAGTTTATCGATCAACCCTTTTCACAGACGTCTAGCTTACCACTTCCCGTCAATGCAGTAAGATAGAATATGTAGTTTTCTCATGGACAATTGGGCGACAGTTGGGGTTTTCTCAAGGAAAACTGGTCAACAAGTTGAGGAAAAAAACTCGAAAAGTAATCCAGAAAAAAATCCTGTGTGCGGCCCTCGGGATATGATGGAATATGTTGAATATTATTATGGTTCAAGTGATTATATTTGACCCTGGAATGAAAGTAAGCTCAGAAACAAGTAGAGTTTTAGCCCTTCCAACGAGATGGATAGCTCTTGGAAAGGATAGACACTTTTCAGATTACAGCCTGTCCGAGAATTGCGTGGCATCCATTTCGTTTGGTGATTAGGACACATAGCGGTTAAACCTGGAACTTCAACTCAGAGATTTATTAACTCGCTTTTGATGATACTTGCTGTTTTATGATGCGATTTTTTCTTACCCAGGGAGGAGTTGGCCTAGTCGTGCCTTCCACTAATTCGCACAACCCTGATGCCAGCGTTACTGGTAAGAATCAGGAGACCGGCGCAACCGGCATATAATGGGGCCCTCCGAGGGCAGTGTTTAATCTTCTGAAATACTGAAACACTGAAATCTACTGAAATTTACTGAAAACTAAAATTAAAATACAAAATAAAATATGGTCAATGATGGAGGTAGACTGATTGCGTCTTTTAAAACATTCAAAACATAATAGGCATCAACAAAAGTTTGGAGAAAAAAAAATCGGAATTTGTTTTTTTTTTGCGGGGGGGAGGCTATTTGTAAAACGAACATCGTTATGACCTTGACCTTCCTTCATCGGCGCTCACTTGGTCCAAAACCGCACACAGAGGACCAGGCTCCGGGTTACCTATTTAGGGTGTTTTCCGGTATTTAGGGTGTTTTCCGGTATTCAGTATAAAATGGTGTTTCCGGTTGTTTTCCGGTATATAGTATGGCCCAACACCCTATGATC